AACAAAGATGGGCGTTCAGAAATTTTCGTTGCATATGATGACATCGACTATGTAGATGTGCTGGTTACATACGACACCGGATCTTTCAGTAATCACCTTAAATATTCAACTGGAAATTGGCCCAAATCTGTAGCTCTTGGCGATTTTAATAATGACAACAAGCTTGATATGGTCGTCGCTAATAAAGCAGACAACACTGTTGGCTTACTTCGGGGATATGGGAATGGTTCTTTCACTAATCAAACGACATACTCAACTGGTTCTTACCCATTCTCTGTAGCTGTTGGCGATTTTAACAACGACACCAATCTGGATATCGTCGTCGCTAATAGACGTGACAACTATATAAGTGTCCTTCTCGGATATGATAATGGCTCCTTTACAAATCAAACGAAATATTCAACTGGATCTGGCGAATTATCTGTAGCTATTGGTGACCTTAACAACGACGCTCGACTGGATATCGTCGTCGCTAATGATGACAACACTGTAAGTGTTCTTCTAGGATATGGAAATGGCTCTTTTGCAAATCAAACTAAATATTCAACAGGTTATAGACCATGGCCTGTAACTGTTGGTGATTTTAATAACGATACTCGATTGGATATCGTCGTTGCTAATTTTGGTGACAACACTGTAAGTGTTCTTCTTGGATATGGTAATGGCTCCTTTGCAAATCAAATGACATATTCAACTGGTGCTGCGCCAGGATCTGTAGCTGTTGGTGATTTTAACAACGACACCCATCTGGATCTCGTCGTCACTAATTATGATGACAACACTGTAAGTGTACTTATCGGATATGGCAATGGTTCTTTCACAAATCAAACGAAATATTCAACTGGCTCTGGACCAAGTTCTGTAGCTATTGATGATTTTAATAATGACAACCGACTGGATATCGTCGTCACTAATTGGAATGACAACACTATGAGTGTCCTTCTTGGATACGGCAATGGTGTTTTTACAAATCAAATGATCTATTCAACTGGCACTAGTACTTCATCTGTAGCTGTTGGCGATTTTAATAATGACACCCGATTGGATATCGTCGTCTCTAATGATAATGGGCAAAGTGTCAGTGTATATCTGGGATATCCTAATGAAGGTTTTCTTAAGCAAATGAGACTCATAACTGGGAATGGATCTC